GAATTTCATCTGCTCGAAAACCGGTCTCAAATTACATGCTAAAATACAGTGCTTGCGTTTGTCCTTGAGAACGATATAATACGTGATAAATACGCACGAAAAATACTTCTACACGTTTGGATTATTTCAAACTATATTTACCTATAGTGAAAGGAAAAAAGAAATGGCCTAACTTTTATGGAATATTCAGTCAAACTCTACCCATTTCTACCGCTTTTACCGCCATATTGAAAATAACGCTGCCACAATGCAATGCAATCGGAGTGCGCACACCGCCTGTGGAGGATTTTCCCGTAATTAACCTCGTAATTGTAGCCCTAAATCATTCGGGTTCTTATGGCAACCATATTTTTATGTGTTGGAAAACAATGAAAATGTTATTGACCAGCATAGGTCGGTCCGTATTGGGAAAAACTGTGCCCTTTGTCTTAAGTACCGCCCGGGGCCTACAGCCTCGGGCGGTATCCAAGACCTCGGGCACAGTTTTTCCCAATACGGACCTCCGGTTGGTCAATAACATATATTTACCCAATTATGTACCGCTGAGCCTTATATCTTCCCTATGACTTCCATTGATGTAAGTAAATACAAAGGTAGTGCATAGTGTGTCCCATGTACGTTACCAATTTATCCATATTTAACGATGGCACGATGATTCTTCTACTTCGTAATCGTCATTTTTGCTGGATCATATTTTAAAAAATTGTAAAAAGTAAAAAAAAAATAATCATTAATGCATTGACCAGTTGGGAGACTGGTTTAAGATGCATTGAAGGAATTTTATAGCAAAAAGTGTTGTCCTGCATAAATACAAACAAAAGTCAGAACACAACTGCTAAACAAAACGCATTAAGAACCCGTTTAAGATTTGTTTTGGATAAAAATAGGTGAATTATATCATTTTTTAATAACAGATATTAGTATATACTGAAACAGTGGATAGCGTTAAAGGCGCGCTCTAATTGGCTACTCAAACTCCGAATATCCTTTGCTATTTACCTCCGAGCAACTCGGGAAAAAATGGCGTGCCGGTTTCCATCTGGGACAAGCGAAGAAATCACTCAAATAACGACGAAGCAGTCCCTGAAAACACAGAAAGCGACTAAATTTTGTTTGGCCGTGTTTAAAGATAATGGTAACCGGGAGTTTATCGATAAAAACCAATGAAAGAGGTTTTGCAGTAAATGGTTTGAACCCGGGGGTAACATGTGAAGGTGTAGTCTGATCGTCCGGGTGAGTGTAGTCCTGAGAAGGACTGTTGTCGGTGGTAGTGACTGACGTTTCGACAACCTGTGCGGAAGTCATCATCAGAGTCAAGTGAATGATTGTTGTCAGTAGAATGTTCTTATTCCAGTTCGTGTGAAATGATCGGTCGGTTTTGCCGTGATGTTATTGGCTGTAAGACTCAAGTGACGTAAGTCGGTCGTGATTGGTCTGTTTCGATCTGTCGGTAAAGTTAGGTCGTTCTTTTTTTTCGGTCGTTTGTGATGTTTATGTCGTGAATGAGTCGTTTGTATGGAGCGGGTAGTTGTTGACATCTGTTTAGGGGAGTCTGTTCTAAGTTAGTAAACCAGCTTTCCAGAGTCAGTCGTTGAAAATAGTCAGTGCTGTAGGTTAGGCATTGCGCAGAGTCCCAGTCAATGTTGTGGTTGGTAAGTCGATGGTGTTCAGCAATGTGATTGCTGACATCACCTTTCCTCGTCGCCCGTCTGTGTTCAGTCAGTCTTGTTGTGAGGTTTCTGCCAGTCTCACCGATGTAGGAGGCTTGGCAGTCGGAACAATTGATCTTATAAATCGTTCCCTGTCTGTTCCTCGGTTCGTCTTTGTCTTTAACGTTGGTTAGTAACTGACGTAGTGTGGTGATGGGTTTGTGGGCGACGCGGATATTGAAGGGTAGTAAGATGCGCGAGATGTTTTCAGACATGCCTTTTATGTACGGTATGGTTGCTGTGGTCGTAGGGGTTGCGGTGTCGTTTGTTTCGGTAGTGGTAGTGGGTCGGTGAGTGTTTCGTCGGATGAAGTCGTTGTTGTAGTTGTTCTTCGTAAAAACACGGTGAAGGTATTTGTTCTCGTCGGATAAGCTGTCTGTCGAGTCGCATACTAGTTGTGCGCGTCGTGTTAGAGTTCTGATAGTTGTGGCTTTGTGTGATGTAGGGTTGTAGGATGACTCGTCTAGTAATCTGTCGGTGTGTGACGGTTTCCTGTAAACTGTCGTCCGTAATGAGTTGTCGTTGTGGCTTACCAGGCAGTCTAGAAAAGGAAGCTTGCCATTTTCTTCGACTTCTCTGATAAACTGTATGTCAGTGTTTTGTTCATTAAGGTGGCGGTGGAATGCGTCAATTTCGTCGTGTCGAACGGCGGTGAAGGTGTCGTCAACGTAACGTAACCAAAGCGGTATCGTTTGTCGGCAAGTCGAAAGGGCGCGTTCCTCGATGTTCTGCATCACAATTTCTGCTATAACAACAGAAACTGGAGACCCCATGGCAGTGGCGTGTAACTGTTTGTAGTGTTTACCGTTGTACTGAAAGTAAGTAGACGTTAGGCAAATGTTTAGCAAGTCCATAATGTCGTCTGTCGGTAGCGGTAGTGGGTCGGTAAATTGTCGGATTGCAGTCTCAGTGCATTGTAATGCCAATTGAAGTGGAATACTTGTGAACAGTGATTTCACATCAAATGACACTAGTTTGTAGTCGTCAGGTATCTGAACAGTCTTGGTAGCGTTAATGAAGTCTTCATTGGATTGCAGTTTATGTCTGGATTTGTCGGTTAGCGGTTGTAGTATTGTCGTCAGGTACTTGGAAAAAGGTTTTGTTTACAAATGCAAATTAATCTTGCGTAACCTCACTTGTTCACTTGAAAATCAAAGTTAAATGGTATTTTTTACAGAATGGTTTCAAATACAGAAAGAGTTTGTAACACCATTTGAAGAAATGTCGCCAACAGAGCTAAACAAATGTCTTCAGAAATTTTATCTGTCTGCGAAAAAACGAAACGGCAGGTTTTACAACAAAAAATCACTTACCGCGATCCGAGCCGCGTTGGATCGTTACGCGCGGGAAAATGTTGGAATTGTTGCTGGAATGTATGAATTAAAATCACTTTTTGGTGGAGTATATTATCTCACTGTTTTAGTATATACTAAAACAACTATTCACTTCAGTGTCGATGGTTAGCGGTGAACATTTACCTCGCCGCTTCGCGGCTCGGTAAATATCCACCACGAACCACCTCCACTTATGTGAATAGTTGTTAACTATAGAGATATTGGAATTATATTTCTACTTTCAGTACATTGGCAGTATACAGAAGATATCATGATGTCGAGAAGAAATAAGTTCAATTTTGCTCTTGCCATAATTACAGAAAACCCACACTATTGAGGAAACTTGTGGTTTAATTTTCCCTTTGTTGTATCGGGGAAAATAAAAGTCTGTTGCAAAGATTAGGCAGTTCAAATACAGAGTACCGGTGTTCCAACAATAAGTGAGACTAATACTGTACGACAAGATGCCCTTTGAGAAACTTCATAAAAACCTTTCGTTTACCCATCGTTCTCTTTTTGGTGTCCCCGTTGCCTCGTTGATGGTTAAATATAGCTGCACCTTTTTTCCGCCGAATAAAAACAAATCAGTAGCTAGTATTCCAAACAAACAAAGCTAGGTTATTTAGTTGAGTCTTAAAAATCGTGTCGTGATTTCTCGATATGGCCACTCCGATTATATAAAGGGATCCGTCACTCACTACGCGAATGCATTAGCTGGGTTGATTCTTTAGGAATGTTTTGAGCTCCACGGTAAAACACACACACAAAAAAAAATCACCAATTTATTAGGTTAAGTAGATTAAGTCGTAGTACCTTTTTATTATCATTTATAGTTAAGAAAAAGGCATTTGTTTAGGATTCATTGACTAATGAATCTACCAAAGTGGTTCAGGAAACCGAAACGATTGCAATATAATAGATATCGCTAGGATCGCAATATCTTCTCGTCCCTGTCATAATTCGTAAAAAAACGAAAACAACCGAAGAAAACAAGGCAAAGAAACGATGTAATTGCAATTTTCGAAATGTAGCGTGTGCCTTTTGTATCACTGCTTTGCGACCAAAGAAAGACAAATTTGGGTTGAAACAATTCAACTTGGATGCCTTATTTAGTTTTACGAGGCATAGTTTCGATTCAGTGTTTTGATGAGAGTTGTTTAATTGCAGCCAATAAAAGAGTGGAGTGACGGAAGCTGCGTCGGTTAGTTGATACGGGCAAAGACACTGGTGCAGTTTTGCTGATCAGCGAAAGAAAAAACGTGTATATGATTTTTAGCTCAGATTTTTAGCTCGGTTACAACGCTTACGTATAGTGTCTTAAAGTGACTCACATTTGCAAAAAAAAAAATTGTAAATATGCTATGATAGAAGGACAAAGGGCCCTTGGCAAGAATTTAAATCAATTCATACTGCTGAAAAAGCTCTTCCACAACCATGCTATTTGAAATCACAGAAAGAAGCCAGATTTGCAGGCTCCTACAATATTGCAACCTGACTTTAGTACAGCGAGTGCCTTCGTAAAGCGGCCGCGGAAGGAAGAGGTTTAACTTGCGTATGAAAAATATCACAATATATAGCATTACAGACTATTTTCCGAGGTGTATTGGAAGAAGTCAGATTTGCCAGGGTCTGCAATATTGCAACTGTTTGCGTCACTACAGCGGGCGCTTTCGTAAAGAGGGTGAACTGATTCCCTTCTTTGGCGACTGCGGTAGAAAAAGGCTTAGCTTTCGCATGGAAGATAACACAATATATTTAATTGTTACTCACAGAAAATTTCCCGAGGTGTATTGGAATAGGAACTAAGTGATTACCTCTTTTCTACACTAATTTTGCCGCAGCATTAGATCACCAAATTTAGCACTCACATATTCGATAATCGACGACTGAAGTCCATAAGAAGCAGCTTTTTTGCGAGTAGCATCAGTTTCTAGCAAAAGTTTTCACTGGCAAGAAAACTTAAGCTGACCGAGAATAAGAATTCGTTAGCAAGACAAAGAAGCATGACGCGCATGGGCTTCCTCCTATGGGTGACAGCAGTCTTCGCTGCATCGGAAAATCCTGATGGTGAGATCGGATTGTTCCATGGTTCCATGATTTCTTGTAATAATTCCAAAGTAGATCATACTTTTTGAAGCTATGGCTCGGAATTTTGAATTGTTTTCGCTTTTTTGAACATTTCAGTTCGTTCCGGCTGCTTTTTCTGATTATTGATTTTTCTAGCCGTCACAATTTTTAAGCAATTTAATTGATACGCCGTAAGAAACCCATGGACTGATTTACCACGTTGAAAATTCTTAAAGTACGATCGTTGGAGAATAAATCACCATCTTTGAAATTTTCTACAGTACGAAGTCCACCTGATTTTGCCGGGAATAGCTACAATTTTCAATTCGAATTCGAATTCACACCGAATCCTTTTTGCGCATTAATCACAAGCGTAGCAGTCATTTACAAGCTATTAGTTTTCTATTGAAACGTACCTATCCCAGAAAAGTAGGATGGAGGTCCTCTGTTCCTGTGACGAATTATTATTAGTAGAGTCAGAGAGAATGGAAGTATATAAAACTCCATAAATTTGTTTCGCTTATGCATTTTTTTAAATTGGGAAACTAATTGACTGCCCTACTGACCAATGGAGCAAGACTTATTATTTGATTATTTTCATGGAAGAATTGACTGCATAATTCATTGGTTGATTGCATGAATGATAATTGTTAAATTGAATAAATTAGTAAACAATTCAACAACTAATCGATTGTATGCAGTTTTTGAACCATAGAAAACTTGGGAATGGATGATAAAGATTTATTCGAGGGAGATATGATTCTCCCTACCGATCTCCTCTATAAAGCCGAGCATGGAATGGATGTTGATAGCTCCCGCAAAAGAGGCGCGATCAAAAGCAGACTATGGCCGTTAGGAGAGGTTCCTTATGTCATCTTAAATATGCTTGGTAAGGATGAATAAAATATGTTATCGTTTAACTCTCCAACCATTGTAATTCGTGGCTTTTTAATAGACCAAAGACGAAGATGGCATCTGCTGTACTACTGTAGCTGTAATGTCACGTAATTAGCTAGAGAGCAAGGCTTTTTGTTTTTCATTATCCTTTTCGAAGATTAATACGGATATTTTCAAACTGTATGTTTACTTGGACATATTTGTACAAGTCTCTTTGAATTTCGAAATTAGACATATAAACTACTCATAAATAAAATTAAAAACGAAGCGACAGCTGGTTACCAGCAAGACGCCAGGACGGCAGAGCACCCCTAGTCGCTTTATATCACTAAAACGGGACGAGCCCCGTGTAGATGAGACACATGGTCGAGTTCAGACTTACCCTTTTTCATTTCAACTAAAAGTTCGGAACTCTTAGTTCAAAAAGTCGCTGAGATAATCCGCTTCACCTGTGTCACAATTCAAAGTGTATTGCTGGATGAAGATCTTTGTTGCATCATATCTACGATTCGAATTCTGAATGCAAGCACAGGATGAAAAAATTAAACTTGGTACAAGAGATCGAATCTAACTCGTCTGTGTCTTTATTTTAAAATACAGGTGGAACTACGAACACCGAAAGGGCCTTTACGGCTATTAATCAAGGAATGGAAGAATGGACAACAAAGACATGCATCCGTTTTAAGAGGCGAACAAATGAAAGAGCCTACGTAGAATTTACTTTACGCAAGTAAGAGAATGTTGGCGTAAACTGCTTTAAAACATATCTCGGTAATTCATAAGCTGGAAGGTTCGAACGAAGTTAAAAGAAATGGTTAGCGAAATTAGAGATTCGAGCTATCACAGCATGTTAGCATTTTTTCTGGTGCTAAATAAAATTTTATCTAAATTTCAAAAGAGAGAGCCATAATATCTCAACGTGGTGTTATTGATGGATGGGCAAGACGAAGCAATCAAGGCTCTGTTTCCCTTCGTACGGGGCTACGTTGCGCGCGCTCCGCTACAAGAGAGTTTATACGCAAACCAGACTAGCGACTGCAAACAGTACGTCGTAAACCAAAATATTAAGTGTAAAGGAAAAAAACTTTGGGCGTGCTTTTTAAAACATTGTATATTTCTTTGTTGCCTTTTCCTAGACGGCAATGTAATTCACCAAAGGTTTTGTAGATCAAGAATGCTGGAGTACCTGACACTTAACGGCGCCGTTACATGTTATACTGAAGAGAATCTTTTACCCTGATAAAGACTCTAAAGACATCGAGTCACTCGTAAAGCTTTTATAAAAGATTATAATTCTGTTTTAGTGATCAAAGTTTTCCTCAGCGCTGCCATTGGGTCTCGCCCGCTAGATCCATAATGATCAACTTAAACAGAGCGACACTCTAGTATGTTTTTTCATGAAAGCGCTTTATACTGTATAAATAATAAATGCATTCTCCTGATGTCAACTTACTTTTTAGTGGAGGGTGTTATTCAAGTGTGGGTAGAACTGGAAGACCTCAAGTTATCAACCTTGCCCCCGGATGCTGGACTCTAGGAATCGTTGCCCATGAAATCGGTAAATAATTTTGTCTGTTGTGTTTGTTTATGCTATTTTATTTATTTTCCTTTCCTTTTTAGTTTTGTCGGTTTGTTTGTTTGTTTTTCTTCTGGTTTTTTTTTTTTTTTCACCTTTTTGGTTTGCTTTTTTGTTTTCTTATTTGTTTATATTTTAGATGCTTTATTTTATAAATTTGTTTAGGGGCAATATTTTTAGAGCCGTGGCAAAATTAAAACCAACTTGATACGAACTTAAGACCACTTCAAAAATTCTTAAAATTTTCTCTAATACTCCACAGGTCATGCCATAGGATTCTTTCATGAACAGTCTCGCCCCGATAGAGATCAGTTTGTCACAGTGCTGTTGCAAAATGTACAACCAGGTGAGGCAAATTGATTCGCAACTCATTTTCAAAAGCCCATTACAGCAAAACTCTTTATTCTTGGATTTCTCCACCTAGTCTTTTTTTAAGAAGCTAATGTACAATTACTCCCAAGAAGGTGCACGCGCTATCTTGCACTAAAAATCTAAATTTCAGTTTCGTCATAGAATTATTTCACTCAGTTAACTGTCAATAACCCGTACTTTTCACTTACCAAAGGAAATATTCGTATCCTCTTAGGTCTCTTTTTATTTTTTATCCTTGATTGCTCAATGCATATTATCAGCACGTCAAAAGTTTGAAAAAATTGTAATCCAAAGAAGTATCTGAAGTTATTTTAGTTTTTGTTTTTGTTTTTGTTTTTTGGCTTCACGCTCGACCTCTTCCTATTTTCAAAAGAGTTGAACATAATGTGCAAAGTGTGAAAAGAAATGTGGCAAACACCGTTTACTTCCATTTTTCCGGTCATTTTGTTTTTTAACTCAAGGGAACCCAAACCTTTCTTGAGTTCTCTTCGATAGGGTTCTCGTTGATAGCAATTTTCTCCCTTACTTCCACCAGTTATATTTTCATTTACCGACTTTCCCGACAAAAAATGTTTAATGTACTTTATTGCAGGGAAAGAGAATAATTTTAGGAAGTACCCAAGGTCAACCATTGATTCTCTCGGCACCCCTTACGATTATCAAAGCCTAATGCACTATGGAAGTAGATTTTTCAGTAGAAACGGACGTCTAACGATAAAAACGAAAAACCCGAGGGTAAGTTATTATTATAGCTACCAACACAATTTTTTTCGTTTATGTTTCCTGGATTTACAAAGAGACAAAAAGGCTCGTTTCACAAAGGTCCTGTGACTTTATGAGCCAGAAGCCATAAAAATCTAAATCTATGGAATGTAGATAAAGAGATCACATCTCACCTCATACACCGGTTCGTTCTCTTTTTGTTTCCCGATATCTTAATACTGTCTTCATCTTGTATAATTTCATAGCAGTTATAAACAAGTTTTTAGGGCCCATTAAGTTACAGGGAGCCCCGTGAAACAGGATCCTAGACCCAACTACACGAAGTGTTTACTGGTGTAGCCAATATGCTCCACTTCCTCTGACATTTTTTGACTAGATGTCGAGTTGGACCCTCATCCTTCAATGAGCAACTTGTTTTCTTAGAACCAACAACAAGTTTCAATACGAGGATAGACTTTTGCAGTACATTTGCAGATTTGGGGAAAGAGTGATGGAGGGAGGAAGGCATTGTGTGAAATACATTACTGACTGCGAACAAGGAAACAGAATAAACCTCCTAATCCCAAATGGATCATACCAACCAACTTTCGTTCCGGGATGGACTACAGTGGTTGATTAAAGTTACTTTCTCACTTACTTATGACGTTTATACATATATTTTCCAGTATCAAGGAGCTATTGGCCAAAGGAATGGTCTAAGTACAATTGATGCACAGCAAGCGAACCGTTTGTACCAAAGTGAATGTAGTAAAAGAGGCGGAGGAGGTTTGTGACGCATCATAACCATTTTTTTTTTTCTTTATACATATCAATCTTGTTTTTTGTAATTAAATTTCAGTTTTGGTTTAGTTCATTTCTGTTTAAGACTTTTTCAGCTTTTCAACTATTTCTGAAACATGCTCTTTTTTGGAAATTTTTAATACGTGCAGATAATATTCGCGAGTTGCTTAGTCAATCAGAAAAATAACCCAGAAGGCCAGTCTTTATAAGGTCAAAAAGCAATGATAAGGGACAGGTGATTGGCACGTTAAAAAGTAGTTTTACAAGTGTTCTTTCCTGTCGAGGCGCTGTTGCTCCGTTAACAACATTTTCAGTCTGCATTCATTGTGTTATAAATTAATTCTAACGAAATATTAAAATGTACTACGGTCTCACATGTCACGCCTTATTTGGCGGAATGAAATTTGATAAAAAAGAAATGTAGGAAGTGTGTACATGAATATGATATTTTAGAAGATTATTCAACGAGCTGCAGCAACTATGAATAACAAACGTCTTTGCTTCATTTCCTAAATCGCAGTTTGTCGAGACAGATGGAGCTTTTGCCAGCGGTGGCCAGTAAGCTTCTGCAGCCGGTATTCTGTGGTTAGGGAAAACTGCAAGAAACTATGCAACCAATGCAGTTAGCTGAGAATAAGATAACCGCAATGATGCATTTAGTCTTCAACCCTTGTGTGTCAAACGAACTTAGTAAAAGTCCTGTACATGTACCTGAACATACTTTTGTCATTGTTGCTTGTAATTTTCGTTTTTCTAAAGAGGCTCAGAACGGTTTCCTAATTCATTTTCAATCTATTGTTTTTTGGATCAAAGCGACCACTCTTGTGGTAGTGTCTTGCCTCAGCAATGGTATCATACAATTAAAAAACATTTCTTGTGAGTTGGTGGTAATTTTCTCCCTCGTGAGAAGTCATCATCCCCACATTTTAATGAATACACAGTTTTAATTTTTAGTTGTGTGCACTTTTGACTCAAAAGCAAGTTCTGCGACCCCTCCCCTCCGCCCTTATTACTGTCATTTTTAGTCGAATTGAGCAAGACAAACTCATCTTTACGTGAAACATTTTTACAAAACCTGTTGGGCAGGTTCAATGTACACACCCTGGTCACGAGCTGTAATTCATTTTTATAGGGATTATTTGATTAACCTGAATCGCTATATGAACCTGGTAATACCACCTATCAGCAATTCAAAAGGGTGGGTGGGGGTGTGGGTAGTTACCATAGGCGGGAAATTGCGGACCTATTACTAAGCGAATATTCCTTTTCAACTCGTAAATTACGCATGCGCAACACGAGTTATCGTGGGTAATGGGAAAATGCGGTGGCTCGATCGCTCGTTGGGCTGTAAACATTATGCAAATAAGGTACGCTCGCTACTTTCGTTTAAAGTGCAGTCCATCTTTAACTAAAATAAGTTGTTTTAAAGGTCTAAATCAGAAGATCTAAGCTTAAAGAAGACTCGACCACCGAAAATGAGAACATCAAGAATCGTATTAAAAATCGATGAACAGCACAAGTTCTCACTTCATGCGGACCTTGTATTGATTTTACAGAAGCGGAAGTTGTAGAAGTACGGTTAAGGTACGGTAAATGCGCATATAGCGAGCGAAACGATACAAACACAAAGCATTTATTATTCAATTTGACTCACCGCTCTACAGACAAAATGTTTATTTTCTGTCGTTAAACAGATGACGGTTTTATGCAAAACACGCGAGCTAATCTACCTGACATTATAACTACTCTTTGCATCTCGGACCATCCCAAATTCCAATCACTTTCACCACAAACCTGGCACGAACTTCGTCATTTAACCATTTTATCATCAGACACCACAAAAGTCACTATAGAATATATCAAAAGGCACGCCACAATTACACGTAAAATCATTCTTCATCATAATCCACAACATATTTCATTGGTATCATCTTGAAACTGAGACCAAACGATACTGCAGTTTTTCAGCCTCTCTAGACGTAGACGACTGCAAATTCAAACACCAACTGTTTCCCCTTAGACTACCCAGACGAAATTATCACTGTATACTCTTATTCCTTAGCTTATGCACTCTGCCCAGCGACAACCTACGTCAATCTGTCTCTTTACCCCGCACTATCCTTTCGAACTATCCATCCTATATCTAATCTCCCTCCATTTTATTTTTTGCCACAATTCGCAGTAATGTCGCAATCTTTTTATTATTATTATTATTATTATTATTATTATTACTATTATTATTATTATTATTTTATTCACAACCTTACAAATTACAAATACAGTCACTTACGTAACTTACAGTACAATACTACTACTCACATTATTTACAGTGTAACAACGGTTTACACTACTTACAAAACAGTTCAAAAGCTTACACCACTATTGTTACATTCTACTAGTACTACTAAGTGCCACTGTTACTAGTTTTACAGTACTATAATACACTGTACTATAAAATACTAACACAGATATTACTACTTCTAGTATTGCAATGGTTTAACCAGTTACTTATTTATTAGCCACTTTTTATCAAATTTATCTAAAGTATTATTCTTCACACACACACATATTTTTCTGTTTCAAACTTATTTTTAACCTTTAATTTTAAGCCAGTTATATTGGGTAATATTTGAGTTCTTTTGCAATCCCATAAATATATCTTAGCTATCAGTAATAAGTAATTAAGTAAACGGCAGTTCGTGATTATAATACCTACAATAACATCTTTCAAGGTAAGGTGTACAAATTCTTTTGAAAGACTGTAAAAATACAATTCAAAATCTCTCCAAAAACTTTTTGTTTTTATGCAATCAAAAAGAAGATGGCTCAAGGTTTCTGATTCAGACCAATCAGATTGCGACATTACTCTGAATCAGTAATGTCGCAATCTGATTGGCCAAGAGTACAGACAACGGTGCTCGCGTCAAAGTGTCACGCAATGGTCACGCACTGAAAGAATCTTCTTTTTTGACTTCGATATTGTGGTCAGTACTCTTATCAACAACAACATTCATCATCACAGTTGTCACGCTTTGTTGCGGTCTTACACGGCAGAGCCTCGTGATCCCACAGCATCACATGATCACATCAAGTACGCAATCTGTTGTTTTCTAGTTTCGATTAATGTCATTGGCTGGCTTTAAAACAAATTTGACCAAATATGATTAAATTTGGAAATGAAGCTCTGTAAAAAAAATAATGATAAATAATGGTAATTGGACTGAATGGAGCGCAATTTGGTCTGAGATCACATTTGTAACGGCACTCAAACAAGCGCCTAGCGCGACTTCGCTTTGAAATCATAAGTATTTTCAGACCAAATTTGCACGACATGAAGTTCAAATACAGGATTTTTTAGTCTGTTCATATTCCTACATAGCGGTTTGTCGAGACAAACCAGACAATTATCGTCGACCCATTTCTCGCCTGACTGAACTACCTTCAGGTCTTTTCGTTGACTTGTTTCAACACATTTTGTCGCTGTCGCCGTCACTTATTTTCGTTAGTCCTCAGGAATATTCGCCGAACTTTTTCTGAACTTAACCTTCCATGTAGTTTCAAACGATGAGCCCAATATAACTTTTAATGAGGACATTGAGCTCTATGGTATTATTATGTTACTCAGTTTTTTTGGTGGTATCTCGGCGAATCAAATCCCCTCTTGAGGTTTTCCTGCGATTTTTATCGTGTTGTTCATGTTGTTTAACTCCTGTGAACGGTGAAATGAAATTTCTTGCACTGTTGCGCACGGAAACAAAACAAAACAACCAAAGATGAATGGTTGGTCTTAACTTTCTTTTTTTTTTCGCGGAACTATTATTATTATTATTATTATTATTATTTACGTTTAATTACTTTTCATCGCTGTTTTTAGCTTTCTGAGTGTAACAGTGGGCTTGTATCACATGTCTAAAAAGAACGGTTCATGCGCGATATGAAGTATCTATCTATATGCAGCAGTGGAAAAGATTTATGCCATTAAGATTCTTTGGAATCGCGTGTTTTGCATGTTCTTGGCGACTAATCACTTATTAACAAACGTGGTCCGAATTAAAGAAAGCAAAATTATGGAAAATGAAATGAATGGAACGAGTCAGCGGGAATTTCGAGTCATCGAGGATTTGTGTACACGAGGAATGGAGTTCTCGAGATGTAGCTCTTGGGCTATAGTTGATAAAACGAAGTGTTTATCTTTGCGACATAATCATGCGAAGCTCGATGGTTCGGATGTGTTGAACTTCTTCAAAAGCTCTGTATGGGCAGGATCCAACTGAGCGACAAATTGATAACAGTTTTAAAAAAAAAGAATCTGCATAAAAATTTAATTTAATTTACCAGCAGGCTTGAACTCGGAGATAAATCTGTGTTCTTATTTGATTCATTAAAAGGTTAACAAAAATTTAGGATCTAGAAAAAGTGTATGCATTTTACAATGTTTCCGGTAAGGTGTGCGTCGTCATAAATTTCATAAATCTCATTTATTCTTTTCCAGAGCTTTCTCCGTTCAAAAATTACGACAAAGGAAAGGGTTACCATTTCTGAATGGATTGAGCGGAAAAAATCTTTATTGATCGGACGGACGGAAGAGGATATGTTTGTCGTAAGGCAAGAAAAGAATAAACTTTAGACACTACTCCGGAAACAACACGCTTCTCTGCCATGGAAATAATACACAACGAATGGGTGATAATTCATTTGTTACAGCGAGAAAATGATGAGTGGTTTGTCAATTTATCGGCAAGCGAATTTAGTTTGTTTGTCAAAAGGGTATTCAAGTTCATTTCTATTGATTTTTGAAAGACATTATTACTATTTGACACGCGGTGTATTTCTGTTACCTAATGCGTCTATTCAAACTTCGTTGATTGATTTCTACAGAATTAGCATACAACCCCCGCGTCACTGAATTGAAGGAGTTTATTTGTAATTTGAGAGTGCCGCCACCGAAAATCCTCAGTTGATCAACCATGGCTTAGCGGTGAGCACGTAAGAAATCTATCGCACAGAATGGGCGAGACGAAAGAAAATGGGCAATGTTTGAAACCTGGCCTGGGATGTTTCGTGATAGCATGGATATCCGTAGCCACAATCGCTCTGATTCTGTCTTATTTCATCGCACGCTCAAATGGAGACATTTCGTTCATTGTTCCGTCGATAAGCGACACAACATACAAAGATCCCGAAGGAGCGATTTTCGCCGAGTTCTTCAATGCCACTGCAATTCTAACTCTGGTTATGATGGCTGTTCGATATTTCCAGATCAAAATGATCAATAGAGAAATAGAAGGCAGCGAATCGTCGCATCTAGCGCAACTCAATTTACTGAGTAACGTCCTCGGTATTGGAAGTGCCGTGGGAGTGTCTATCGTCGCAAATTTCAGATCTCGTGAGGTAATACTGTTTTAAAATCTTTATAAGGTTCTTACCTAAATTTCCCATAACGCTGAAGACATATTTTTTCCCGTTAAGCTTCCTTTAATATAATTTTTTAAGAGTTGTTGATTTATGCCTGTTCGAGCGCGCAAAATGTAAATAAGCAGCTTAGTCACTCGGCCGCGTTCTGACACATTGTACCCCTTTCAATTTACGAATTTTTACTTCAGAAAGCAAATTTATTTCTTCTTTTTCACGGGTTTCTTTGTGGTTTTAAGATAATGAAATCCCCCACTCCATCCTTATCGGTAAAATCTTTTTGCAACTTAAGTTACGCTACAATGATTGGTGTAATTATGAAAATCCGCAGCGATCAGAAGATGTAATTATATATGTTTCGTCCCTTTGTGTTAGGCCGCGAACCAGGTTTAAACGTCTAAAATGCCATGCGTTTTCAAGGTGTTAAATATCACTTTCGCTTCTTTAACTTTTAACCT